TAATCCCAGCTTGGTGCCTACCTCACCCTTATGGTGAGGTCTGAGCTCAGTCTTGGAGCCCTCCCTATTCTGCTCCCTTCCACTGCAAATGATTAGGCCGAGTCCTGCATTCTGAGGACACAACTCTCTGTCTAGGGGCATTTGTGTCCATTTGGCTTGGTCTGATGGACACTCAAGACAACCTGAGAGCTACTGCAAGGTGCACAGGGCTTTGAAACCCATGGGAAGATCTCCCTGCCCTTTAGCTTGAGGGGATCGCTATTCTTTTTCATGACATTTTGAGAATCTTTATAGAGCAGAACTTATACACTTGGATTTCCAACTTGGCTAAAAAGTTGCTTTATGGACAGTCCTTGGCAGAGAGGGCCCCAGAGAGGGTCCTTGAGAGCAGAATGTGTTGTAAACATTCTGGGCTACCTTGGGCTCCTGCATGCTGGCTGTCGGCAGCCCCATCGCTTTGCCTTTAGTGGGAAAGTTGAGAACTGCTGGTCACTGGAGTTTCTGCATGCAGTAAAGTGGAAATGTTTGCCAGATGTTGTTGGGTCTGTCTTCAGGAGTGCTCTCTGATCCCCCATTTTTTTCTCTGCTCTCATTATTCTGGTAACTCTACCGACGACTGTGTAGGGGAACAGTGTCTGTAATGGTGTCTAGTTACTGCCTTGAACTTCAGGTCCTCCAAGGCCCAAAACACTGACTACCTCACGCCCCTTTCTCCAACAATATCAACCTCACACTCTCCCTGGTTATCCTTCTTTGTAGAAGCCTGGTGTATAAATACAGCTTCCTTCATCTCATGTCTGTTGTGGAAACCACATCCCTTTCTTACATTGAATCATTCAGCTCTTCCTAAACTTTGGTTCCCACAACCTTCTTGTCTCTGCCTGAAGGTGTCCCCATGATGTGTGGGCACCTGTGCCTCTACTCCTGTGCTGGTGTCTGTGGGACCAGCCTCATGGCAAGGTGCAGCTGGGTCTGGGTGTCGTTGCTCCTGGTTGGGGTGATGGTGATTAATAGGGGTGTGGCAGTAACTGGGTCAGTGGTGGTAGTGGGCTGCTCAGGGCTCCTGGGGTCTGCTCTGCACTGCCACTGCTGATCGAACTCCACGTATGGCTTTTAACTGCCTCAAAATGGAATGACTGAGAGCCTGCCTTTGAGCAGAACCCTTACCAATAACATCAACAGTCGACTAACGTGTATTGTATGTTATGTGTGTGATAAATGGTGAAAAAGATTTGTGAACTATTGAGTGTTCCCTTTTTAGTGCGATACACATTTCACTGGAGGGACAAACTGCTCTTGAGAGTTTTAGGTAGCTACTCCCAATGCTTCTGCTCAATCGCAACAGGAGGTGGCTGTGATATGAGTGCAGTAATCCCCTATGATTTTATGCAGTTATGATTTATTGCCACATCTTTATCTTAGTGCACATTTCTCTCAGCTGCATATGGTGCCATGTATAGTCTGTGTCTGTGTGCTACATTTTGATGCATTTTAACTTGTAATAGATTCCTGTATATCTTAAGGGTTATAAATGGGAAAATAAACTCTTAACTACATACATACATATATATATATATAAAATACTATCACGATACACATATTTTTTTCTTAATTTCTTTGATATTTCCAAGGTTACATGTTCATGTGAAAGATTGTTCAAACTGTCACATGTCCTTTCCCCCAAATCCACAAACAAGTGGATCTCTGTACATCTCAAAACCTGGTTGTGTATATTGTTCTGTAGGGACGATGGGGAGGCTATTTGTTACCTTGGAACTGTTGCCCATGCACGTTGTTCAGTTACTCATTCACTTATCTAGCAAAAGTGTATCAAGTGCCTCTGGTGCTTGGTGCTTGGTGCTGGGTCCTGGGTGCTGAGCTAGCTACTGGGGCTTAATAACATTGCTAAGACTTTGACTCTATCCATTTCATACTTGCTAACTATCTACTCTCACCCCAGGCACTCAGCTTCTACCGTTAAATATTCACAGCTACTTCCTACTGACTTGAATCATGCAAAAGACATTAGTAAACAGACAGTAAAAAGATCTGAGGTTGGGGGTGGGTGCTCCACAGCATGGTGATGAAATGGAAAGACACGAGTAACAGAATATGAACTAGAATTGCAAACTGCCAGCCAGTGCTCTCTAAGGATCATTAAAAAATAAAGAAATCCTATTTGAGCCTGCCAACCTCAGAGCTAAGTTATTTAGAATGGAAAAAGTTGGCAAACTTAGATGTACTCAACCCAAGGAGCCGATATTTTGTGACTTTTATGGCAAATGTAGTTTGAGAACTACCGCCACAAAATTGTGTACAATATTAATGAGTGAGAAGAGCAGAGAAGGGTTATAAAATCCAAGCTAAAAGCAAAGCTAGGGCTGTGAGGGGAGGGCAAGTGAGAATCAGTATGCTTTGGTTATCTGAGTGGGCAAGGGAAGCAGGAAGAGGAACCTCCTTAACCAACAGACACCCACGGCTCTGTGAGCAGTTTACTTTATCTCATTTGAGTTTTGTTTGTTGTGAAAAATCACATGAGAACCTCCACTCCATCCTTCCTATATCTGTCAACTTCTTTTTTTCCATTAAGTTTATTGGTACATTTTTGGTATACAAAACAGTTACATTCATCATTGGGATCTTGTACCTTTACATGATGTGTCTTGGTTCTTATGTTTTCCCCCATTTCCCTGCCCTCCCTTCACCCCTTCCACCCTTCCCTATTTACAAAGACTTTGTTTCCAGTTTTTCCTTTTCTCATATTTTTTCTTTTCCCTTCTTTCCTTTCCCCTACCCCTTCCACTTCCCCTACTCTTTTAGACCTTTTCTTCCCATTACACAATATCAATTATACATTCTGATCCTCATTTACACTTTTAGTTTTTCACACCAGAGAAACTATTTGGGAATTTACACATGTGTCCTATTTATTTCACTTAAAGAGTATGGCCAGAATGTGCATCCACTTAGCTATAAATGTCTCTAGTTTCTCATTCTTTGTGGCTGAATAGTACTCCATTTTATAAAAAAAACCCCACATCTTCTTTATCCAGTCTCCAGTTGATGGGCAATTGACCTGTTTCCAAGTTTTAGCTATTACAAACTGTGCCACTATAAAGATGGGTGGGCATATATCACTGTGGTATGATTCTTTTAATTCTTTTGGGAAGATACCCAGCAGGGGATTAGCTGGGTCAAATGGGACCTCTAGTCTTAGTTCTTTGAGGCATCTCCATGCTGATTTCCACAGTGGTTGCACCAATCTGTACTCCCACCAACAATGGAAAAGCGTTTCTTTCTCCCCACAACCCCACTAGCATTTGTTATTGGTTGATTTCTTGATAGCAGCCATTCTTTCTGGGGTGAGGTGCAATCTCAGTGTTGTTTTCATCTGCAAATCTCAAATGATCAGTGATACTGAACATTTTTTCATATGTTTATTTGCTGCTTTTATTTCTTTGTCTGAGAAATGTCTGTTCATTTCAGATGCCCATTTTTGAATTGGGGCTTTGTTTGGGGGTCTGATTTTTTAGTTCTTTATATATTCTAGACAGTAGACCTTTGTCTGAGGAACAGCTGGTAAAGTTTTTTCCCACATTGTAGGTTGCCTCTTAGCTCTGTTGGTGGTTTGTCTTGCAGTGCCAAAGAGCTTTAAAAAGATGAGATCCCAGTTGTTGATTCTTTCTGCTAGTTCCCTTGCTACTGGGGATTTGTTCATAAAGTCTTTTCCTATGCCAATGTCTTCAAGAATTCTACCTAATTTATCTTCCAGCAAGTTTAGTGTTTCTGTTTTAATATTTAGATCTTTAATCCACTTTGATTTTAGTTTAGTGGATGGTGAAAGATAGGGGTCTAGTTTTAATCTTTGGCAGGTTGAAATCCAGTTTTTCCAACACCTTTTATAAAAGAGGCTATCTTTCTTCCAGTGAGGATGGTTGACTCCTTTGTCAAAGATGAAGTGGCTGAGTATGTCTCATCCAGCCACTCTTCCACCCAGGGATTTGGTTTGTACCTTTGCCCTTTCCCTAAAACTCCTTGCTCAGTATCTTGTTCAAATTCAAAATTTATTTTATCAGTTCTTATTTTTTTTAGCTTCTCTTCCCCATTTGGCAGTACTGACCACTTCTCTCGTTAATGCTTTCTTAAAAGTTTGTATGTATCTGTTTTCTTGCTTCTTTTAGAACAAAACTTTCTTGCTGTTCAATTTTCAATTTAATTTTGATGATATATTTCTTCCATGAAATCTTTAATGGTTGAGATAACTATCTGGGTTCCTCTACGCTTCTCATTCCATAGGTTCTTAAAGAGGTCTATTTAATATTGAAGAATAGCATCCTCAAATTATACAGTCAAGTTATAGTTTTCATTTTTTTTTTCTGGTACTGGGGATCGAACTTGGGTCCTTGCGCTTGCGCAGCAGGCGGTGAAATCACTGAGCTAAATCCCCGGCCCCAAGTCGTTATAAAGATCTAGAGTTAGTTGGTAACAATAATGGAAAAAAATCTGAATTAATTTTCAACATATGTTCTACATTATTCATCAGGTCCTCTGAATTCCAGATATTTCAGCTCTTTTATGCTTTGTCTCTATTTCCTAACAACCCTTTGTAGGGTCTAGAATTGGAATGAACATTGGCTGATAATGGTTCTGAACTAATTGTGAATCCTTGAGTAAATGAAGAAGTCTATTAGAATCCAGCTAATTTCATTTTGTTATTTTTCTGAGTAGTACATGACAGGGTAGCCAGCCTGTTTCTGAAGCAAGTTTGTGATAAACAGTTTCCCCTCAAGGTTAGTATAATAGGCAAACACCTTTCGCTGTAACAGAAGGCAAGAGGTACTGAAAGATTGGCTTACATTATGATTCATTATTTCAAAATGTCAGAATAAAGTGCGTTGGCTTCATCTCCCAAGCATCTTATTCTTTAGAATGAAGTGCATGTTTTGATTTTGCAATGCTAATGGACTCACTGTTATTTTTTTCTCTACTCTTTTTTCCAGGCCAAATTCAGGTAATCGACGCCAGAGTGGCCGAGAGAGATTGGCCAGTAGCAGTGACAAAGGAAGTATAACCCTGGAATCAGCCAAGGAGACCCGCTACTGCGCAGTGTGCAATGACTACGCCTCCGGCTACCATTATGGCGTTTGGTCCTGTGAGGGCTGTAAGGCCTTCTTCAAGAGAAGTATTCAAGGTAGTAGTGTGCTGAAAACAACTTATTCTGTATTGACCCTAAGAGCACAAGTAACAGAGGAAGGAGGACATGATCAGACATTTATATAAAACAGTTAACACCTAGTAGGTCCACTGGTATCCTTGATAGAAACATGGAGACGAAGCAGAATCTCAGGAGGAGTTGGCAGATGCCAGGGCAGCTGTGGCTGAGTCATTCTGCTTCCTCCCTTTGGCACGATCCAGACAGTCTTGAGCCAACTCTCGTGAAGGAAGATTTCGGTAGCTGGGTCTCTGAGGTAAAAACACCTGTTGTCTCTGCCCTGACTGGGGGATGGCAGGGGACATTCATATTCTACTGGCAACTCTGCTTATACGATATGGCATGATATTGATTGTCTGTGCATAATTCTTTCTCTGTCTTGGCCTTGTTCTGATCTTTGCTCCAGACCAATTCTAATTCAGCTTGTTCTCTTCCTTTCTTCCATCTCTTTCTTGTCTCAGTGGATGACATGACCTTTTGCTAACATGAGCAGATGCAATGTCTGGTGACTTATAATAAGGGAGGTATCCTCTGTACCAAGGAGTTATTAAGTATACTACAGTAACATTTTGTTCTCCTGTCTACCTCAGTCCTTTTGTTGTATAGAGTTTATCCATTGTAGCTTCTCTAATACTCTGCCAGCTACATTTTTTTTCCACTCCAGGAATTTCTATATTGTTGTATTATATAGGACATACTCTCTGAAAACATCAATCATTTTTGATGAAATACCTGTGCTAAAGATCCTTTGTCTGATAGGAGCAGAGGTCTGATAGCAGTTTAGGCTTATTGAATTTACTTTTTGTCTTAATAATGAGTCCTTTTTTCTGCTGTTATTTCTTTCCTTTTTCAGCTTAAGTGAAGCTTGCTATATAAATACTAAGAACACTTCTGATGGGAGTTTTAATGTGATTCCCTCTACAGAAATCTAGACTTAAAGTAACTTGTTGAAAACCGTAGTCTGCTAAATTAATAGACACTGACTGAAGGAGTGATTCTCAGGAACTTTCTGCTGTGGCTCTTCACTGCCCTGATAAGGAGTTAAAACTTGGGGGATGGTCTGTACTACTTATTTTTCCTTCCATTGTCAGTGGATTTTTAAAAAACCTGTTCATATTTTAGTAGAGTAGCTGGTAAGGTCAATGTAGTCCATTTTAAAGCATTTTATGACACTTATTGCTTTCAACATCTTTTAGAACTCTGCTGTAAGACTTGAACATTTTTTACTGGTATTTTTATAAAAATTAGCAATATTCCCTGAGTTAGTCTATGGGTGTGTTATGCGCACACAGAGAGACTATTAATTTTTATTATCTTAATTCAGAAAAATGAAAATTATGTCTCAGCTTAGATTAATATAAACTCTTAAAAGTCCTCTGGGAAGCATCTTCATTTGTGGTTTTACTGTTTGATTTTGCATAATCTAAAATATCTTTATTTTCACCAAGCATTTAATCTGGTAGGGAAATAGAATCTGATATAGATGTGATTAGTGGATAGGTTCTGCTATACACTTGGATGAGTCACTTATCTGAGACTGAGTTCCCTCATCAGTAAATGTGATTTAGAGAAGTTATCATTAAAGTTTTCCCATAAAGGGTCCAACAGTAACTATTTTAGTTTTTTCAAGCTGTGCAATCTCTGTTGCATCTGCTCACCTCTAGTGTTGTAGCCTGAAAAGAGCCACAGGCAAATGCAAATAAATAGGAGTGGTTGTGTGCCAGTAAAACTTTATTTAGAAAAGTAGGGAACTGAACAGAAGTGGCCCAAGGGCCATAATTTGCTGATCCTTGATTTAATTTTTATTTGATCATATGTAACCTACATACCATTATTTATGGAAAAAATAGGTGGTTTTTAAATGTAAAGCTTTGATTATTCATGTTTTATTGAGAACTTACTCTGTACCAATATAGATGTACTGAGAGAAATTGAAAAATGTGTAAGATGCAATTCATAATCCAACAAAATTTGGAATTTATTTGGGATGTTCATTTGGGAAAAAAAGATGCTTGTTTTCATAATAGAATTACCTGTGTGATAAAGATAAGTAAAATAATAGATGAATATGAGAAGAAAATATTGAATATGAAAGGAGAATATTGACTATAAGGGAAGAAAATATTGTAGGTTACAGATGTAAAAATATTGGTATTGAAACAATAGCAGTATTCTCAGTATTTTATTGGTGTGGCATTATTTCAAGCTCAAATATTTTAAAAAATTTTCCTTATGTATTGAGAGTAAAAAATATGTCTTCCCCTCCATCTTGTAAATGCGAACTAAATAGTAGGATTTTATTGAAATTTTCCCATATAAAATGCAATTTATACTTGGTTTAAGAAACTTCTTGGGTATTATTATATGGTCATCTCAAGATTTCTTAAAAGGGAAGATTATTGAGCCCAAAGTTACAGAAAAGGCCTGGAACCAAGACAGAGTCACTAACCTTAGAGATAGAGAGGGACCTTAAAATTATAAAGTTCATTAATTCATTAATTGAATGTTTCCATTATTATTAGGCAAACCACTGATACAATGTTAGGAAAAACCTAGTCCCCACTCTCGTTGAGCTTACAAGTCAGAGGGAGAAATGGATACATAAACCAGCGATTAAATTACAGTGAGATATGTGTCAAAGTGGATGTGAATGTAGGGTCTTACAGGAATCTAAACTTCACTCATTTCCAGAGAGGTATGAGTAAGGCTTTCATAAAAGTTTTTCTGGTTAAAATCAACCCTGAAGGATGAATCAAGTGAGCAAGATGAAGGAAAGAATGAGTGTTCAGTCATATGAATGAACATATCTGTGGAAACCAGGAGAGAAGACAGAGGGTGGGAGTTCTGTGAATAAAAATTAACCAAATTAATTTATCTTTAGATTAAGCAAAGATCTTCTTGGCCTATTCTTTTAATATTAGACTATGTAAGAGCAACGTAAATGGTCCTCATGTTATTTTAATGGCACAAATTGTTTGTGCTTTTATAAGGGAATATAGAAGAGCACATTTAAGGGTTTCTAGCCCTGTTTTCTCATCTGAATCTTGATAACTTAGAACTAAAAAGTTTGACTGAACTCCTGTGGCTCTTTGTAAATCATGCTGCCCCTCACACACATTGAAGGACAGTGAAGGGGCCAACACGTAGGTGGAAAGTTCTGAAGATGCTGCAGCTCTCTCTGTGCTGCTTGTTACTTAAGAGGAGAGCTAGAAATGAGTATACATCAGATTATTCTCATGTTCTGAGTGTTTTGGTTGAAGAGGTAAAGTGTTTGATTTGAAAAAACACAAATTTTCATCTACTACTTAGTGTGCAAACTCAATTACTTAAGAAATTGAGTAATGGCCTCCAGTGGAATGGGTTTGTTTGTTTGTTTGTTTGTTTTAAAGCAAAGTCAAGGATGCTATTTAGGGCAGAGGAATGCAACTGAATATTCTATGAATTTATTAATGTTGAAGGCATAGAATTATGCTTTAAGGTGTGTTTTAGAGAGAGACCAAGGAATAAGTTATGCAAACAGATGAGGTTCCAATTTCAGCAGCCAGGTATAATTTTTGAGTAGTATTCCAAGGAAAAAGGTTGCTACTGAACTCATTGCACCCCCCTCCACCCAGTTCTGGAGATCAAACCCAGAGCTTTGCACATGCTAAGTAAGTGATCTACCACTAAGCTACACTCCCAGCCCAGCTCATTGCTTCTCTTACATTATTATTTCAGAAGGATGTGCCTAAGCTTATCTATATGCCACTAGCTGTACTACCACTTCATATTCTATCAGGCATATGCAGAGGTTGCTCAACATTTTTTCAGACAGACATGGCCAAGACTGATATTGGCTCATAGTTTAGCTGACCCTAGGAGAACACTGTGGAGTCCAGTTATAGGGGCTTTAGGTCTCACAAGGATAACAGAGCAGATCCACCCAGCCCTTAGAAAACTTCAGCATGAAACAGTCCAGCACCCTGGATAGCTCCAGTAATAGTAGCTGAGGGTAAGCAAAGACTTATTTCTAAAGAACCTGTGGCCCATTTAACTGGCTCTATTGACTTTGTGGAGCTCTGTTCAAAGAGAACTCAGTCATTTTAGGATTGGAGACTCACCATTGTTCACTCATGATGGATTTGTTTCCACATTTAGTTTCATGTTGATGTATGCACCCATATCAGAAAAGAGTAAGAAGTGGAGGCTGCTCTTTCAACACATGACTGTTTTATCTCTGTGGTCTTCTAAGAGATATAACAACATATGCACACAAAAATATTGTCTTTGTTCTCCATATTTCCACATTCTCCACATTTTCCCTTCTAAAGTCCAGTCTTCACGCAACAGCAGGATAGACCTTATAGGAAATTAATCAAATCATATGATCTTGAGCTTAAAACTCTTAGTGTAATTGGAGTAAAACCTCTTTTCTATGCCTTAAAATATTATACATATTTTGCTTTCTTCTCACCTATTTACCACATTATACGTATGTATATAGACTATGTATTATGTATATTATGTAATATTATATATTCTATAGGCTGATTACATTTCTTGGCTATTGTAAGGCTAACATAATCATGGTAGTGCAGATGTTTCTTTGATATATTGATTTTATTTTCTTTGCATATATAGCCAGTAGTAAGATTGCTAGATCACGTGGTAGTTATATTTTTAATTCTTTTGAGGAATCTCCCTACTGTTTTCCGTAGTGGTTCTACATATATTCCTTGTTTAAGGACCTACTTGTTAAATGACTTTTCAGACTTAGGACAGAGGCACACAGTTTGGACTTAGAACTTGTTCTTTTTTGGGTACAGTTCTATATATCTTGTTAATAAACCCTCAATGTTTTCTTTTTGGTACAATAATCTTTGTTCATACAGTACTGAGATTTTTGCTGATGATACTGTGTAGTACAGTACTGTAGTTTTATGTTCTGTTACACATTACAGTACTGCAAGTAAGAGTTATTCAAATAAAGCTAAGTCATC